GAATACGAGCAGAATAAAGTAGAGGCCTATTATTAGGGTAGGTTCAATCTCTTTTAGGTTGGATTTGTACCTTCATCCCCGAACCCTTATTTGGTTCATGACCTTATGGAGTTGATGATCTCTTGGATCGTTAAGGGGTGTAACCTTCACCTCGTGAACGGTTTACAAGTTCCTTAAAAACTTGTTGGCGTCTCTTTTTCTCTATCTTCTGCCCTTTTGGACGCCACCGTACTTTAGTGTATGATCACAGTGGGGTTCAAGCTAGTGGGATTTAAAGGCTTGAAACTATTCCCTACAGCTGCCCAATTAGTATAGGGGAAGGGACTATTGGGGGTAGTAGATCTGGAGGTAAGCCTCCAGTACGTCATTTAGATCCTGCCCCCCTGGTAAGCCGGCTCTCAGGCGCTTAGTACTAGCGCCAGGCCCAGAAGTACTCCCACCCATCATGGGATGGGAAGCAGGTGGCTGAAGGACTTCTCCGACAGTCAGCTCCTGGAACAAAGAACACCCAGTTTCAGAATTGGTGTCTGGTGGTGGTGAAGCAGCTGGAACAGCCAGCATAGCAGCAGATCCCCCGTCTTTGTGGTGGAAACTACCTTCCGATCTGGGCTGTGAGGTGGCGGAACAGGCCTTTTAGACCCAAAAAACTTTGTCGGCTTCTCATCCTCGTCGCTTGAGATGTATTCAGCAAGCTTCGCGCCTACAATCTTTCTCCTAGCAATTACAGAAGCACAACGGAGTGGCTTCATCACACCAGAACCACGACGAGGTATGTACGTGGTTGCCTCAGGTTTAGGTGTGGATCCAAAAGAAAGGGACTCATGGCTTACCAGATCTATAATTTTTGGTTGAGAAGAAGACATTTCAAGAGTGAATTAAGGTGAATCGTTGTAAAAAAAAGCCAGAAGATGAAGAGAGATAAAGGGGAAAGAACCCAGATTTTTTGAGGAGAAAGAGGAGGCGAAGAGGAGAGAGAATAAGAGAGTATGACAGTGAGAGATTTAAAAAGGTAGGGTTTGAGAGGGGGGTTGTGATTTCTGGAAAAATTTTCCAGAATTTAATTCTCTCAACCATTTTCCAGAATTGAATGCAGATTCAATGAAGGTGGTTGGGAGATGAAGGAATTTAAAGGGGAAGGGGGTAAATTTGGTGGGAGTAATTAAATTAATTAATTAAATCACCAAACTAAGCAAATGAAATTAGGAGTGTTAATAAGATAGATTAGGAAAAAAGTAAGGGCATATATGTCATTTTACAGCCCAAAAGTTACCAAATAAGGGAAAAAAAAATTTGTTGCAAGTAATTTGAACCACCCCAAAATGGAAATTGTTGCAACTAAAATGAACCGGAGGTAGTAATAAAAAACTTTTGTAATAATTTAAGGCAAAAAATAAAAATATGATGTCAGCAATTAATTTAGATGGAAAAAATTTAAACTGCAACTTGACATGTGTACAATTTGAAAAAGTGATAATGTTGGCGGTTGTTGTTTTAGTTTATTTATAGATTTTTTTATTATAATTTTCTTATTTTAAAAACATTAATAAAATAATTAATTTTAATTTTTTTTTACAAAAAAAAACCCCCCACAGCCCTTACCCCCAATTCCCCACAAATCACCGACTCCAATCAACCACCAGTGGGAATTTCTTCTCAAAATCCTCCACGTCGTTGCCACATTCTCTCCTCCCTCCGCCACACTCTACACTCACCCTATCACCCTCGCGCGACCTTACTTTCTCACTCCTCTCCACCACCACCTTCGACTTTTGGAGGGGAATGTGGGGTTGTTGTATTTGAGAGGGGAAGGTGTTGAAACTCCAAAACCTTCACGATTCTCGCAACTTGAATTCACAAGGGTTGGATACCTTGGGATTGGGGTCAAGTGTTAGAGAGAAGGAGGGTTGATTGGGTTGCTCGTCTGGTGATTGGTTGAGAGGGTGGTAAGGCTGATCGAGTTGAGCGGAGGCGATATGAGGCGGTAACAAGGTTGCACTGTGGCTGCAAAGGGAGGCTAAATGGGGAAGGAGGGGTGTTAAACAGGCCGAGATCAAAGAAGAGGAGAGAGGGATTTTTTTTTCTTTTTTTTAATTAAGTTTTTTAAAAATTAATGTTAATTTTTTTTAAAGTGAAACATGTAAAAATTAAAATTATAAAATCTTGATCAATCACAATTTGACACGTGACCAACCTTAACCTTTAAGCAAGTTACCGGTTTTTTTATTCTATTTTTGGAAGATCATGTGCAAAGGTCGTTTTATTGGGGGATTATCAAAATTTTGTTTTATTTATGGCGGATCGGATAAAGGTCATAATATTCTTGTTAATCTCCTTGAACTATTATATTAAGGAAAGACATATCATATTATGTACTACATACGTTTATTACAATAAGATTATATATTATTTTCTTGATTTTTTTAAAAAAATTATGTAATAGAAGCTACAAGTTTAAATGAAATGCGACTATCAAATCAATATATAATACTTTTGTTATTTCCTTGAATAATTTATGATTAAAATTTCAATCAATTAATACTAGCTCTATGAACACTTTAATAACATTTGCCAAGAACAGCACATGTTGATTCTAAATGTTATTTTTTCCTATCAATTTTGTAATTGGAAATCAAAGTAATTAAACAACCCAAATCAAGTATACGTTGAAATCAAAGTAATTAGAAATTGGAAATAAAAAGAAAAACGTAAAGTCTCGCACTCTTGCAACTTTAAATTTTATCAGGAAAAAAAAAGTTTAATGATACATGTTAATAGAAAAAAAAAATTAAATAACATTAATTTTCGTTTATTCTACAATAATCTCAACTTTCACATGTGTTTTCTTCTAATAATCACAAACTGGTCAACAAAAATCAACGACCTAATAGTCTAGGTAACCTAACACGTGTCAAGTCATGTTTGGTCCCAAAAAAAGGCCACTTGCACACAACTACTAGCAGTGGCCACCCTAACCCCCAACAAAACGACCCCCTCCCTCCCTCAAAAATATCATAGCCAAAATCCCAACCTTGAAACCGCCATCCATAACCGCAAAACCACACATAACCAAAACCCCCGACCCCAAAATCCCCACCCCCGAAACCACCTATAACACTAATCCCAATCCCCGAAATCACCTCCAAGGGGATCTCCCATTCTAAGATCCCCTAATTATTCTCCTCTTAATTATTCTCCATCGTCCATTCTTACATCATATAAGACGTTCTCCTAACAATTTCTTCAAAGTCAACTTCAACGGTTTGATTCACAGCAACTTAGCAACTTCAAGAGTCATCATTAGAGATGCCCTTATCAAGTTCAACATCAACAACACCAAAGTATTCATAGTAAAATCTACAAACTCATTTTAAAAGGAGTATGTCCAACTAGTTCTTCAGTGTAGCATTCAAAATAAACATTCAAATTGAAGTTAATACCAATTATTCATCAACTCAGTAAAAAACATTTTGGTAGTCTCTTTGGTAGATCGAGTATATTATTATTTATTAGAGACAATCGTTTGTCGCTCACTCAATTTCACAATAAAGTATCCTATACATGCATCCATTAAGAGACAAGTCGTGCAATAGATTGGATAGCTGATGTAGGACACTTTGTTTTTTATAGTATGGATCTTAATATTTGTAATTACTCTAGCTTACTTGTAATCCCCTCTTAAGAAACTTTTTTACTGCTGCGTATTATTTTTCTCTTTACCTTTTTTTTTATAATAAAATAAGTTTGCTTGAGTAATAATAAGTTCAATACTATAAAAATAATTTCAGTTCAGTAACAATAAGTAAGTTAAATAAGATATATAATATACTATCTTAATTTCATATTATTTGCAACGATTAAATATTTTCTAATCACACTATGTCAAATCGTTACAAATGTACGAAATGAAGGTTGTATAATTGTTAAAAATTATTTCACTTTAATAAAATAAAGAAATTTTGACTTTTGGTACCTCGAAATGGCTACTGACTTTGGATACCCATCTAAAATTTTATTTTATTTTGATACCTATTAAATTTACAAAACCTAGATTTTGGTACCACTTAATAGAATATGTTAGGGTTTCGCTAAGTGATGTCCATTATCTAATTAATTAATGATTTAATTTATTTAAAAAAAAGTTTTTTTCTTAAAAAAACCCAGCCATTGCCACCCCTCCCCTCTTTTTCCCCTCCCCGCGTCGGCTGCCGGTGCCCAAACGTTCCCCCGGCGTCGGTGTCGACAACCCTACCCATCCCTTTCTCTCTTTTAATCTCAGCCACAACAGTAGTGAAGCCCTCACCGAAACCCCTGTTTTCCCCCTTCCCCGAAAGCCTAGCGCAACCACCATCAAAACCCCTCCCGCACTCCAATAATTTTAAATTGCTCCTTTCCCTATCCCCAAACTCCTAGCGGCTAGGGTTTTCGATGGTGGCCGGGAGATGAGTGTTTGGGTTTTTTCGGGAGTGAGTGAGGTGAATTAAGGGAGTTTCGAGTGGTGGTGGCGGCGGCGGCAGTGTGCAAGAGTCGGCGCTAGCTGTGGTGACTAGGCCATGTCCTGGCCACAGTGGCTGGGCTTCGGCCTAGCCACGGAAACATGCTGCTGTGGTGACTGAGTTGCGTGCCTAGTTGCCGCAACGACAGATCAACAGTGACACCGATAGGCTGCTGTGGTTTTCGGGGTGGCTGGAAGATGGTTTTTGAGGTTGCCGGCTGTAGACACTGGGATGGAGGAGGGGATCTAAGGGGTGGCTGGAGGGTGGCAGGACTATGGTTGGGCCCCACTAACGAAAACTGTAACAGTTTTTAGACGGAGGTACCAAAAGCTATACTTTTGGAATTTGATAAGGATCAAAATAAAATAAAATTTTAGATGAGTAATTAAACTCAGCAGAGATCCTTTTCAAGACACTAAAAGTCAAAATTTCTAAAAATTAATTATTCAGTTCAATAAATTGAGTAAAATTAATAATTTGGTGAAGAGTACAGGGTTTTATACGAATTATAAAGCTTTCAAAACACACTAGTATGAAGTTGGCGCTCACATCCCCTATTCTTCGCGCTTTCTAAAACCCCCAATTTTGTCAGTTGCTCTCTGCGACACTCCGAACACGGCAAAAGAGAACAAAAACGAGCCTCTAAATTTGAAGATGGCCACCAAATTCGACGATCTGCTCACTTCCGAATTCGATGATATACCCTTACTTACCGTTAAAAAAAGGTTTTTATTTCGATTTTCAATTTCTTTTTTAGTTTCATTTTATCTCACTGATTACTAACACTTAATATTCATTGTAATGTATTATTTCTCTTAATTTTCGCCGAAATTAGGTTCAATTGTCAAATTATGCGTATGTTTTGCAGATACTAGGGTTTTAATTTCACTGTTCAATTTTAAATTTCTCATGGTCTAAAATAGAAATGTCACGTATTATTTAGGAATGGTAATAAACACTGGAGTTTGGATTTTTCGGGCTTTAGGTTACAAATTTTAGTTAATTTCTTAGTAGTTGAAAGTTTTGTTTAGCAATTAAGTATTACTCCGTATTTGGGAAATGTTTTTTTTTTTGGTTCTTTTGTAATGGTGCTTTTGTTATCATAATGTTACAAGGACAATGTCGGTTTTACTGTAAGTTTGTTGTCTGGTAGATGGATTGAATATTCAGAAATGGCCCCATTCGGCGCCTAGATACGAGCTTCACGTTGTTGTTGTTCAGTTTATGTCATGGATGTTAGTATGTTTAAGGGGTGGTAGCTTGAGTAGTATGTATTGTTAATCTGATTTTGTATGTGTTTGGTAATTTACGAGTATTGTTGTATCATTCTATCGGTTTTTGATTGTGAAGTGCATGTGAAATTTGATTGTTACTATGCCTTAATAACAATATGTTACTATGTACACAAGCTTTGTCATTATAAATATGGTTTACGCTTACTTTGTCATGGCATTAGCTTGTACCTTAGCAAGAGTTTTTGGGACCATTGTTTAATTAGACAACTCCAATAGGCTCGATGAAATTGTCTCGTGTTTTATGTGTTTTTGGAAATATTCAGGAAAAAAGGAATTATTGGCTTGGATGATCTTTTCAATGATCACAAGAAGGAGCAACTGAATAAAAAGAAGGGAAAGCTTAAGACTTCAAAGACTAGGAAATGTTGTGTCTCAGATGATGAGGATGATGCTGTTGCTGCTGCTAACGAGACTGAAAATAAACTTACTGAAGCTCTTCATGATTTTAAGAAGACGGTATGTTGAGCAGTTTTGTTTTGTTTTCGTTTTCGTCCTATAAGTAAACTTACCTGTATTTAAACTGGCCTGTTTAGATGTGTGAAGTTGACGGGCATGATGGTGCTTTAAACGATATTGGGCGGGAAGACACTACCTCAAGTTGGGGGCTGCAAGTTTTTGGAACTCAGGTTCTTCTATATTTTACTGAACTCTGTCATGCTACGGGCCTAAGATTGGTTGTGTCTGACAAGTAAACTAATACTTTCCTGCAGAGAACTCCATCACCCTTGGTTGTTCCTCATTTAGAAGGTTGCTTGCTGCTACAGAGTTCTGTGAACAATGTACTCGATGAGTTGTTGGATAGTTCACAGATGGGTACTAATTTGTTACACTCTTCACTGCTACTTTGTAATGTTGCATTGGATCTGCTTCCAACGTGTTCTTATTAATTTTAGATGTACTTTACAGGAGCGACATTTCTTGAAGGATTACTCTTAAATGGCTGGCTTTCAAAATTGATTATAACCCGTGGCTATCTGGAAGAATCAATAGCAAAATGGACCATTAATTTATGTTAGTACACATTTCTGGATTTCTGGTTATGTGTGCCTATTGATTTCAATTTTTCTAGGGATGACATGCTCTTGTTCATTTATATTTTTTTTTGTCTCCAGTGTTTTACTCTTCGGATGAATCACTAATGGCTTCTGCTTCTGACTTTTGGTGTACTATTTTTTGCAACAAGGTTAGCTGGTCATAGAGTAGAAACTGAACAAAGTATACTCAATTTGTCCCATTAAGATACAATCCGTTGCTTCGGTTTTAAGATTACTAGTTCTTATGTTTCCATTTTAGGCTGATGCACCTGTGGTTAAGATTGAATGGCTCCCTGGCTTTGTGGAACTCAACAGAGCTCTTGAAACCTTTGGATTTCAGCTGCATTCATCAACAAAAGTCTTGTCTCGTGTAGATTCAACTCTTGACAGTAAGTAATCTAACTCCGAGTATATTTATTAATGCTGAAGCAACCCTACTGGCTACCCTACTTTTTTCTGCTTCCGATACCATATAATTTGGTTATAATGTATGCATGCTTTGTACAATTTGTTATGTTTCACAAAATGTTGCTTTGTCATCCTTTGTTGGATGCTATTTTATACTGTATATATGTATGAAACTACCTATTGTGGGGCTTATTAATCTATTGAGCTTGGCTCATAACACCAATACTTTATGATAAATGTTTCCTCTGAGAGTATTATATAACTGGTTGTAAACACTCCTAAAGCCTATATGACGCAATTGTTTGCTTATTACAGGGATCTTTCAATACTACACTATATTTCTTTGCCTGATTTGATGGCTTATTGGGCCTTGTAACATTAATATGCTGTATGTTTTTTTTTCTTCATGTAGCTTCATTAACTTTCTTATTCTCTTTAGTTGTTGACTTCTATTTAGCATTGTTCATTTGCTGAATACTATGAACCCTTTTCTCACGCTGAGGATGAAACCCTTTTCTCACGCTGAGGATGAAACCCTTTTCTCATGCCTTTCCCTATATATATGTGTGTGGGGCGCCCGCGCTTTTTTTTTCCCCCACTATTCCCTTTGTTTTTTTAATAATCACAACCCTTTCCTTTTACATTTGTTTCATAATAATTGCAACACTTCATTATTTGGTAATGATTCCCCCCCCCCCCCAAATTATTTTATCTTACAAACTTTATATTATAAAAAATTCCCTTTAGGCCGCACCTTATAACTCTCCTAAAACTGTGTAATGCTTAGTGTTGCGATTATTACAAAACAAAGGGAGTTAAATTTAGTCTCAGCTCTTATTCATACTTTAGTCAACACCCCTGTGTTATGATCCTTTCCTCCTATTGATTGCCAAGAGTCCGACTTCATCTCTTCGTCTACACTCTACAGGGATGAAACTTGGTTGTAGTTGTCTCTGTGTGGGTATGGGATGTATTTTAAGATTTTATAACCTACTGATAATTTTAGAGTCTCTTATGCTTTCTTTCATTTGAGGAACTTGAGCATTGAGCTCCCAAAAATTCGTTACAAATAATCAGCATAGACTTGCTTCTAGAAAGAGTAGAATTACTTACCTTATGATATGGTGATCTTTTTTCTAACTAGATATTGCTTTTTAGCAGGTTCTAAACAAAGAGGGCCATCAACTAACATCAGAACATGGATCAAATTTGCAGATGCTTGCTTTCAAGTAAGGTATGCAATTGTATGAATTTCAGAGGTTATTGACCTGTGATATTGACATGGGATGGGGCTTAGTTATCAGCATTAAGAACCTGTATAATTTTGTTTTTGGTTTTTGCTTGCATATTAGTTCGATACACTGGCAGAACTATAGGAAGAGGGGATCTAGTAAAGGTTCTTATTATTTGAGTAGACAAAGGTAGAAATTAGAAGACAGAGTTATCAGAGAGGATGAAAAAGCCATGTTGTTCAAAGAGAAATCACAGAGGAAGAGATACATTAGAAGATGAATATTATGTTAGAGGAGAGTTGAGAGATAGAAATTGATGAAATTACTCCCAACTCCCAAGTCCCAACAAATTAATTTCCAAACCAAGGTAGCATAGCTTTATTGTCTGAAAATGGCTGTCTTTGACTTGGAATTTTACATTATTAAATTTAAATTTAGTGTGAAGTAGAGGGATGGTCCATGATGTGTAGAGTAAATTGTCTATAATTTTAAGAGTATGATTGGGTGTAAGCAACTCCTCATTAATTGCTACAGTTAGAACTTAGAATCCTTATTCTGTATGCTATGGTAAATTTCTGGAATAAAAAGGCAATAGATAGAATTTATTTTTATATATATTTATTTATTTATTTTTTAAAAAGCAGGATACCTTTGATGTTCTAAATAAGGTGTTTATGGGGAGGAGAGGCAGGGGGTTACCAGTTAGTCAAATTTTCATTTTAGGCTTACTCAGTAGGTCTTGTATTAATAGTGTCCTACTGTCCTGTGTTTTCTGCTGGATAAAAAGTGCTGTTTCCAATTATCCTACCTGTCAAACTGGGGAGGGGTATTTTGGCACTCCCTTATGAGAAGTAAGGGTTAAGAAATGGTGCTCTTACATAGAGAATTGTATTATGAATATGAGACTACAGAATTCAATTGTCACTATTTGATGTTCTGGTATTGTTATGCTCACCAATCACTAGTTGATTTTTTCTTCATTATAATTTCTAGTCTGCTGAAAACGAAAAAGTGCTTGAACTATATCCGAATCTTTAACCTGCAGGAGTAGATATTTGGTATTATCAATACGAGAAGCAGAAGAACTCATAGGAATACTTATCTGTCTGTTTCTGGAAAGGCAATTACTAGGCTTAAGTGGAGTCTTACATGATTGCTTGCTATCAGCTGTTAATTTTTTTGAGGAGAAAGAATGGGATAGCAGCTGTGAGAAAGTAGCAAAATCGATTGCAGACAGGTAGTGTTATAATTTCTTCATATATATATATACTATATATATATATATATATGTATATATATATATATATATATGTATATATATATATATATATATATAGTTCTTAAATTGAGTTTTGAGTTCCATTCATCCCAACCATAGATTATTTAGAGTTTTTGCTTGCTGATATTGCATAGTTACAGAGCTATACTTTCTCTTTTTATGGAGTAATACTTTTAGTGCCATGTAGAATGCATTTCCTGCAAGACTGGGGCATATACATGTTTGTCTATTTGTTGTTTTGTGTAAATCAATAGCACTGCACAACTAAATTAATCATCTATGAGAGGATAGTTTGGATCTCTGTACTTCATCTATGTCGCAAAATTATGGTTTTGCCTCTTTTTTTTTTTTTTTTTTTTTGTTGGCGGGGTCAAGATATTTCATCTATGAACACATATTTCGCTTGAGAAGAAAAATTCTAATACTGGATACATGTCTAGATGAATTTAAAATTGAAAAGAAAACAGTAAAGGCAAATTTTGAAAGTTCCTAGAGATATAAATTTATTGAGAGAAAGAAAAGAGAGATGAATTTTAGATTGAAGATTATAGTTTTGGACATGAGGCTTTGTGGGCAAGGCCTTTCTGTGACGGGCTAGGTCTTTGTATTAAAATTTCTTCCTAGAGATAAGCATCTCTTTTGAAGCAACCCTTGTAAGTTAGTTTCTTACTTTCTTTGTTGTTTGAATGCTTTATTGAAATGTCTTGTACTCATCTTATAGTGAATAATATCAGTCTCTTTTGTTAAATCTGTATGCAGAATACCTAGAGATTTAAACTGCTTGAGGGCAGTGGATAGTATTTCAGTAGTTGATACTCGCAGCAAGCAACTCAGAAGTGTTGTAGCTTTTCAATTTCTCACAACTTGTTATGCTGAGGTAGGTGGTTTGTCATCTGAGGATCAAAATCTTCTTGTGTGGATGGATATTATTCTTATGCTTCATAGTTTTTGTTTAGTTGTCAAAAAACTCAAAAACTCTGTCAAGTTTATATTTTCTGCTTCAATAACTTTGTCCCATGATGAGTGAACAATCATGAACATTAATTTTAAAAATTAGGAAATCGATGTAAAATAAATAGTATTTTAAAGGAGGTTATGGTTTGCTTCTAGAATACTTCGTATAAGGCAAAACTGAAACATCTTTTCATCGAAATTTCTAATTTATCAGTTCATCGCCTTTGCAAAAATACAAGGGACCCTTTTGTGTGTGTGAAGCTTTGACTACATATATGTGTGTGTGCCCGCTCACTTAGCTTTCACTTGTGTAGTTAATGTGGTATAATTTCACATGCCTGTTGTTCTGTCACAGCTGACAGATGCAAAGGGTCTCCTGAAATTTCTGCTGTCAAGTAATTTGAAAGACAAGAGCTGTAATCTTTTCAAGATATATCTGTGCTTAGTTCTTACTGAAAATTGGCTCCTTTTTGGCAATGTATCCGAACCTCGGGTCAATGAGTTGTGGAGCAGCCTCATCCGCAAGTGTTCTATCCAAATTTCCAACACCAATTTTAGGCCTTTTGCTCAAGAGGTTTGTGATTCAGATCTGCAATTATTACTTGTCTTTTCTTGGACTAACTTAATACATCTCTCTTTGGGCAGATTCGTAGCAGAGCTTCGTATCTTCAACATAGCACAATAAGAGATTGATGGTTTTTGCATTTTATGAAGATAGTTGAAGCTTATATATATTGCACATATTAATATCCGGTAATGGAACCTCCAATCAAACTGCTTTTCAGCCTTTTCTGCTATATCCTTGTTTAAGTATCTATAAGATTCTATATGATGCTATCTTAGGTGTTTGCAACTCTTGATAAAGTGTAATTGCTCATCTACCTAGTCAAATATGATGCTATCTTAGGTGTTTGCAACTCTTAATAAAGTGTAATTGCTCATCTACCTAGTCAAAATCTCAACTGTTATGACTAATGTCTTGTACTAAGTGGCTGTGTTTACATTATACTTCGTACATTTTCTCCTGTACACCACAGGTCGTTCATACTAGCTTCTTTCCTACCATGTTTGCTGCCTTTTTTCGTTTGGGAGATGGGAGATGTTTTGGTCTACTATGTGTTGTCTGTGTGCTCTATTCCTACCCCCTCCCAGGCAATGCCCAATTCTTCATTTGGTGGCGCTTAACTTCTGTTACAATTATTTACTGTATCGTGTGAATAATTAGTTAGTAGTGTTAATTGGGTAGTAAAATAGTCTGATTCTAATTTTTTTTTTTTTCGAAATATTTACAGTTTGGACGATGCCTGGACCAATGGTAGGTGAAACTGATGCAAGATATTGACGACTGAGTCAAGCTATTGCTCATCAGTGCCTTCAAATTTTTCTTCTTTTATCTTATTGGTTGAAAAGCTTTTGAGCTAAATTTTTTGTAGGATAGTCCAGCACCAGGCCTCTCTTTAACAACTTCGTGATTTTGAATCCTCTCGTGTACAAATGAATTGAATGCCCTACATAATTTGCAACAACTTCGTGATTTTGAATCCTCTCGTGTACAAATGAATTGAATGCTCTACATGATTTGCTTATTAAGTTATCATCATCATCAGCAATCTAAATTTTTATTTGGTTTTCTACGTAATGTTCTTGATTTTAGGAATTTTAAGTTGTACTCTTAATTGTAAAACATATTCTTTATAAAAATGAAGCCATTTAACTTAAAATTTAAGAAATGTATCCAATTGGAAAGTAATTTAGGGATGGAGGGAGTAATGTTATGACAAAAAAATTATTAATGTCCCTCTAAATTACGTTATTTAGCAACAATTCATAGACAAATATGTCAAAATTCAATAAAAATAAAAATAAATAAATAGTGTGGAAAAAAAATATTCTAAAAAGTATGTTCATTTAACAAGTATAAAATCAATAATTAAATATGTAGAGGTGATAATTAGGCGGGCCGGGTTTAGATTGGGCCGAGGACAAAAAAACCCACTCCTCGGGCCAAGCCAGGGCTGGATTTTTTGTGCTCAAACCCGCCCAAAAATGGTTGAGCCATGCATGTTTTTTTGGCCGGGCCAAAAAACAAAAAATGCATAAATTCGCATTCTCAAGCCCACCAAAAAAGATTTCAGACCGGGCCTAACTCGATTTCGAGCTAACTTTGATCACCTCTACAAATATGAATATGACTATCTATCTATCTATCTATAAACCTATACTAAAGGCGAAACTTGGAATGACACTTGTCATTTCCTGGTTAAAAATTTTCCCGCCTTTTTTTCTATCCTTTTTTTTTTGGATATTTTAATGACATTCATTTTATAACCTACAATAATAGTTATTTCTGTTATGATAATATCTAAATATGGATGATTATTATCCCATGTACAATCTAGAATATTCTAGAGTTGGGTATTTGGTCTTATCCATTGATGGAACCTAGGTAATGTACATTATATATATCCCGTACTAGATAGAATATGAAAAACCTAACAATCTTCCCTCGTCTCTCTTTATTTTCTATTCCATATTTAACACGTTATCAGCACCATTGCTAGTCAACTGAGTAGGATTACCAAACATTTATCTAGAATCCCATATTATTATTATCTTGTAAGTATGATCGTAGCCCATAACAATTATAATTTAAGATTTATCTACTTTTGATGCTTATTTATTGGAATATCAACATATATAACGAATATAGAGCATGATATATAATTTAAGGTTCCATTCTTATTTTTCTCCATGCTAACGTTCTCATCTTCTATTTCGTTCTTATTTATGCATGACTTGTATCAGGTTTATTTATGCATGATTATAACGTTTAGTACATATTTTGGATACTATTTATATATACTTATCTTTTAATATTATTTTGTATAGTGAAAAAATGTCGAACCTTGCCAAGCTCGAATTTGTGGCCCTTGATATTACCGGAAAGAATTGTTTATCATGGGTGTTAGATGCTGAAATACACCTAGATGCTAAAGGGCTTGGTGAAACAATAAAAGAGGCTAATAAGGCAACACCTCAAGATAAGGCTAAAGCCATGATTTTTCTTCGCCATCACCTTCATGAAGGGCTCAAAAATGAATATTTAACTATGAAAGACCCACAAATCCTTTGGAGTAATCTAAAGGAAAGGTATGACCACCAAAAAAACAGTGATACTCCCTAGAGCTCGTTATGAATGGTTGAATTTGAGATTGCAAGATTTTAAATCTGTTAGTGAATATAACTCAGCTATGTTTAAAATAACTTCTCAATTGAAATTATGTGGAGAAAATATTACTGATGCAGAAATGCTTGAAAAGACATACTCCACTTTCCATGCTAATAATATTGTCGTGCAGACACAATATAGAGAAAAAGGTTTTAAAAAATATTCTGAATTAATATCTTGTCTTCTTGTGGCTGAGCAAAATAACGAGCTGTTAATGAAAAATCATGAATCACATCCTACTGGCTCTACTCCATTCCCTGAAGCGAATGTGACAACCCATAACGGGAAAGAAACTAAAAACAGAGACCATTCCGGCAGTAGTGGTAGAGGTAGAGGTCGTGGTCGTGGTCAATGGCGCGGCCGGGGTCGTGGACGTGGATATGGTAGAGGTCGTGGAGTTCATTTCACAAACTCACATTCCCCCAGAAGTGGGAACGTAGGGATGAAAAAGAGAAAAGTGATAACAATATATGTTACCGTTGTGGAGGAAAAGGTCATTGGTCTCGGGTTTGTAGAACTCCAAAGCATCTTATTAAACTTTACCAAGAATCATTGAAGAAAAGAAAGAAAGTTGAGGCAAACCTTGTTCTTGAAGATGGTGAAGGTGATTTTGATTTTGGCAATGCCAATCAATTTGATGTTGGTGATTTCCTTACTTCCCCGGAAGGGAATAATTTTGATTTTGGCAGTACAACTCATTTAGAAGTTGCCGATTTCTTCACTGCCCCAGAAGGGAATAATTAAAATTATATTGTTTTATGTCAGTTTTAAGTATTAGACTTATGTTTGCTTATTCTAGTGATTTATTTAAGTTTATTTCTTTCGTTGTAATAAGGATTTTTGCTTTATAAATTTATGAACTATTTGAGTATTTTTATTGATTTATTTGTTTTACCATCTTTATTTTTATGCTTAATGTTTTGACATGTATTTTATTTCATGAAGAACATGGATATTACTCAAGTTCAATTTGCTATGAATGGTGAAGAATTATGTCTTGCTGACAGTGCAACTACACATACAATACTTTTAAATAAAAAATATTTCTCTCATTTGATGATGAAAAGAACTAATGTGAGTACCATATCGGGTAGTACAAATATCATTGAGGGCTCCGGAAGAGTCACTATAAAGTTGCCTTGGGGAACTGAAATTAAAATAATTGATACTTTATACTCCCCATTGTCTCAAAGAAATTTATTAAGTTTTAAGGATATTCGCAACAATGGTTATCATATTGAGACAATCAATGAAGAAAATAACGAATTCCTTCAAATCACAAATATAACTCAAGGCTCAAAACATGTTTTGGAGAAACTACCTACATTCTCTAGTGGTTTGTACTATACAAAAATCAATGCTATTGAAGCTCATGCTATAGTAAACCAGAAGTTTACTGATGCATCAACTAGATGGTTACATGTGTCTTTGTTATCAACTCGTAACCTGGCGTTTGCGAGATTACTTGCCCAATTGATTAAGTTATGGGCACATTTTCCAGATACTCCCATTAAGACTATTCGGCTTGACAATGCTGGTGAATTTACATCTCAAGATTTTAATGATTATTGCATGTCCATTGGGATAAATGTTGAACATCCTGTAGCACATGTTCATACACAAAACGGTCTAGCAGAGTTATTAATAAAATGTATTCAGTTAATTGCTAGACCATTGCTTATGAAATCCAATCTCCCAATTTCTGCTTGGGGACATGCTATATTACATGCAACAACACTAATTCGTATTAGGCCAACAAGTTATCACAAGTTCTCCCCATTACAATTGGTTTATGGTCAGGAACCAAATATTTCCCATCTAAGAATTTTTGGATGTGCGGTTTATGTTCCAATAGCTCCACCACAACGCACTAAGATGGGTCCTCAAAGGAGGTTAGGGATATATGTTGGGTTTGAATCCCCGTCAATAATTAAATATCTTGAGCCTACAACAGGGGATTTATTTACGGCTCGTTTTGCAGATTGTCATTTTAACGAGTCACATTTCCTAACATTAGGGGGAGAAAAGAGAGAGTTGGAAAATGAAATTAAATGGAATGAATTATCATTATCCTATCTTGATCCTCGAACTAAACAATGTGAACTGAAAGTTCAAAAGATAATTCATTTACAAAGTTTAGCGAATCAATTGCCAGACTCGTTTGCTGACCCAAAAAGAGTGACCAAGTCACATATTCCAGCTGTTAATGCTCCATTTAAAATAGATGTTCCGGAAGGACAAAATAAAATTGCTAATGAGTTTAAACCACGCCAGAAGCGTGGAAGACCAATAGGTTCCAAAGATAAGAATCCTCGAAAAAGAAAAGGAGCATTGATTGATGATGGTCAAATTGAAGAAACAATTTCCGAAGGATCTCCAGAAGAGACTTTAGACATAATACAAGAAGAAATTCAGGTACCTGATAATGAAGAAATTTCAATAAATTATATCATGTCTGGAATTACATGGAACCGAAATCAAATCGACGTCGATGATGTTTTTGCATGCAATGTAGCATTAGATGTTATGGATAATAATGAGGATCATGAACCAAAATCTATTGAAGAATGTAGACAAAGAAATGATTGGCCAAAATGGAAAGAAGCAATTGAAGCAGAATTAAAATCTCTTGGAAAAAGAGAAGTATTTGGACCAGTAGTCCATACACCTGAAGGTGTAAAGCCAGTGAGATATAAATGGGTATTTGTGCGAAAGAGAAATGAAAAGGGTGAAATTGTAAGATATAAGGCACGCTTAGTTGCACAAGGATTCTCACAAAGACCTGGTATTGATTATGAGGAGACATATTCTCCTGTGGTGGATGCAACTACTTTTAGATTTTTGATTAGTCTGGCAATAAGAGAAGGACTTGACTTACGTTTGATGGATGTAGTCACAACTTATTTATATGGACCACTGGATAATGACATTTACATGAAGCTCCCAGAAGGATTCAAGCTGCTGGAAGCAGCAAAATCTAGTTCTCGAGAACATTTCTGTATTAAATTGAACAAATCTCTTTATGGATTGAAATAATTTGGGCGTATGTGGTATAACTGTCTAAGTGAGTAATTGTTGAAAGAAGGTTATAAGAATGATCCTATCAGCCCATGTATTTTTATAAAGAAATTTGGATCAGGATTTGTTATAATTGTAGTGTATGTTGATGATTTGAATATCATTGGAACTCCTAAAGTGATTTCAGTGACTGTCAATTATTTAAAGAAAGAGTTCGAAATGAAAGATCTAGGAAAGACAAAATTCTGCTTGGGGTTACAAATAGAGCACCTAGAGAATGGAATCCTTGTGCATTAATCAACATACATAGAAAAGGTTCTTACAAGATTTTCTTTGGATACAGCACATCCATTGAGCAGCCCTATGGTTGTAAGATCACTTGAAGTAGAGAAAGATCCATTTCGACCTCGGGAAAATGATGAAGAAATTCTTGGTCCTGAAGTACCGTATCTTAGTGCAATTGGAGCACTAATGTATCTTGCAAGTCATACACGACCTGATATATCATTTTCAGTTAATTTATTAGCAAGGTTTAGTTCATGTCCAACCCGAAGGCATTGGAATGGGATTAAACATTTACTTCGTTATCTTCAAGGTACGAAGGATATGGGTTTATTTTTCCCAAAGTTGTCCAAAGAAAATTTGATTGGTTTTGCAAATGCAGGTTATTTATCTGATCCTCACAATGGTCGGCCACAAACTGGATATGTGTTCACATATGGTGGTACTGCCATTTCTTGGCGTTCCATGAAACAAACAATTGCAGCTACTTCTTCCAATCATTCTGAGATTTTAGCAATTCACGAGGCTAGTCGTGAATGTGTATGGTTAAGGTCGGTAGTTCAACATATAAAAGAAGTTTGTGGTTTATCATCTGGGAAAGAGGCACCAACAACTTTATATGAGGATAACGCTGCTTGTATTTCTCAACTTAAGGAAGGATACATCAAAGGCGACAGAACAAAGCACATCTTACCCAAATTTTTCTTTTCTCATGATCTTCTAAAGAATGGAGATATAAATGTATTGCAGATTCGTTCAAGTGAGAATTTAACGCATTTATTTACTAAGGCTCTTCCGACAGCAACATTCAAAAAGTTAGCTTACGGCATTGGATTGCGTCGTCTTAAAGATCTCAAGTGATGTAGTCATGAGGGGGAGTTAATGCGCGCTGCACTCTTTTTTCCTTAACCATGGTTTTTCCCACTCGGTTTTCCTGGTAAGGTTTTTAACGAGGCAGCATAATATGTGCATTGTAGTGTATTTTTTTGTACGGGTTTTGTAGTAAATGTTAGTTATTGTTTTATTCAATATATAGTCATCCAAGGGGGAGTGTTATGATAATATCTAAATATGGATGACTATTATCCCATGTACAATCTAGAATATTCTAGAGTTGGGTATTTGGTCTTATCCATTGATGGAGCCTAGGTAATGTACATTATATATATCCCGTACTAGATGGGATATGAAATACAACGTAACAATCTTCCCTCATCTCTCTTTATTTTCTATTCCATATTATACTCATATTTAATCCCATTATACTCAATTTTTTGTACATATATTTTATATACTAGGAAACTTTTAGTTACATAAATACTAAGATAGATTTAAAATAAGGTATTGTAATATATTATTTTCCAATATTATTATAATATTGTCAATATCAATTTTTTTTTCTCCAACTTTCATTATTTGACAATAAAATTTATTTTAATTAAAAAAAATATCATTTGGTAGCATACTTTATATAAATCTTAAAATTATATAACATTTATGAGAACAAAATCATTCTATTATAGTATACATAACATATATTGGAAAATTTAATCTAATTACTCTAATATTTATATATGATTACTAAAAAAAACGGATTTTTCACCAAATACCACTGAGTTAAAGCTTAATTCACCATATACCATAGAAAACTTTCTAATACACCATATAACCTTCAGTTTTACGAAAATGTCACAACTTGCCCTTTCCGTTAACTCAGTTAGTCATTAACGTTAATTGTGCCACATGGCAGCTTATAATTGGTTCTTATTAATATTCTTTATTTAATTAACTAACTTTAGAGAAATAATTTTTTAAATTTTTTTTTTAAAAAAAAGACCACCACCTTAGCCACCGCCGCCACCAGCCTAGCCCTGACCCTACCCCCAGCTAGCCGGCGATCGTCCCCCCTCCTCGCCGGTGAAATTCCCAACCCCAGCCACCTTTCCCTCCAGAATTCCCAGCCACCACCTGCGAGTTCCCCTATCCCTCTCGAATTCCCAAGCACCACCTACGAATTCCCCTTTCCCTCCCGAAATCTCCAGCCACCACCTTCGCGCGGCAGCCTAAATCCACTCCCACACGTCGCCGCCGCCCAACTTGCCGAAAACCACCACCCCGAAACCCTAAAACACCAAAATCGAAACCCTAGATTTTGGTTTTAGGATTTCGACATACGTGGTGGTTTAGTTTGGGGTGGAAATGGCACCAATAAGGGCGAAATTGATTCGTCGGCGCGGGGGAGGGTGGTTTGGGCGCTGACCGGTGGTTAGCGAAGGATTCTTCGAGGGAGATGGGCTTTTTCGCGACCGGTGGTTCGATTGTTCTTCTAGGATTTCGCCGGTGGTTCAAGAGAAAGGGAGTACGGCAGCCCGACGGTGGTATTCTCGTCGTATTTCAGGTCAGTGCGGGGGTTGTGGTCGGAATTCGGCGCCAGTGCAAGGGTTATGGTCGAGTTTTTCGCCGACCGGTGGTGACTGGCTGGGTGGAGGGACGTGGGTGGCTAGGTTTTTTTCTTTTTCTTTTTTTTCTTTTATTTTTTTAATTAAAATTATATAATTATTTTAAAATTAAGTAATTTAAAAGGGAACCAATCATATGTTGCCACGTGGCCTTATTAGCCTTAATGACTAACGGTGTTAACGTCCGTTAGTCATTAATGGCATGTTGTGACATTTTAGTTAAACTGAAGGTTATACGGTGTATTAGAAAGTTTTATATGGTATATGGTGAATTAAGCTTTAACTCAGTGGTATTTGGTGAAAAATCCGAAAAAAACAAACTCCTATTACTCACTAAAAATATATTAAAAAAAATTGATTACGAAATATTGATTATTCTAAAGTAAAATGAAATCAAATAAATTTTCATATTTCTGTGAAAATGTATTAATAATTTAAGGATAGATGTATATTAATTCGCATATGGGTACAAATCTAAGCTAATATTTTAATTTTATTACATAAAACCTTATAGATTCTAAATTTCTATTTTTTTTATACAATCCAATTCAATAACCTTTACGTATTTCAGTATTTGGTATTGATATAAACTAAAATTCAAGTTATTTTGTTACAAATAAATTTTTAGATAAATTAATGTTGAATTACACTATTATTTGTAATTTATTTATTGTAAAATTTAATAATGACCGTGCATGGCACGGGACTTAACCTAGTAATATTATATACCTCAAATGTAGGGTCAAATATGCTGAGATGATTATCGGTTGTCCAATATCAAGTATTCAAGCGATGACAAATAATGTAATTATATCCTTTAATCATATATATTAAGGAATTACTCACCTTTGTTATTTATGAACAAGAATTTGGAGACTACTTTTTAGAGGAGTATCTGAGTGAACGTTTTGATGAATACATTCACTTTCATACTACATGTTCCTGAGATAGGAAATGATGATATCATAGTTGCATCTGTTTTACAATTCAAGTAAGATGGGAGGAAAAATTCTACTATCTGAAACGAGAGGTGCGTGGACAATCTAATTGAAGACTTAGATTCATTCAGTATAAAATTTAGATGCGTGGATAATCTAAGAAGACTTAGATTCATTCAACACAATATTTAAAGACTTTATTTATTTATATATATGAATCCAACACTTGTTTTTTTTTAATCCTATCCTTAATTATAACCCGTGCATTAGCACATATATATTCTAGTAATGAATTAAACTTGTAACAATATAACCAAAAAGAAATTGATTAAGGGCCTGTTATGAAACGAATATTTTTAGTTCAGTTCAGTTCAGTTCAGTTCAGCTCTAATAAGTTCAGTTCAGTTCAGTTCAACTTTTAATTTCCTTCTTTTATAAAATATTTAGTTTAGTTAAGCTCTAATACATTCAGTTCAGCTCATTTCAATAAATCAGAACAAACCCTATTTTTTTTTTTAATTTTTTTTATGGAGTACTCCGTGCCAAATCGTACAAAATTTTTGATATAAAGATGAAAGTGGAAACTTGAATTAAAAAAAAAAAGATCACATGTGTTAATCTAGATTTGAGTTAGTTGAGTATAGTGAGTAGTCATTAGTTTTCTTTGTTTGTAAAGAGAAACTATAAACCCTAAACCCTAACAATCTAACATTAATCATTAAATCATTACAATTATTTTGCTCAAAGTGGAGAGATTAAAAGGATATTAGAGCTTTTTTTAGGTTCATCCTCCCTCACTTTCTCTACTCCATCTACATTAGAGCGTACTCTCAATCCTCCATTGAAGCGCCTTGTGACTTGTGAGCTTTCTCTCCTCCATTGAAGCAGCTTCTCTTCTGAGGTAAGATGTGTTCTTTGTTTTTAATCATCGAATACAATTTCACAATTTAATGTCAATCGTTAATTTTATTCAATTTAGGGTTCTTCTAAGGTGAATTTTACAATTGAACTGCTGAAAAATTATACCTTGACTTTTCCTTGCTAGAATTTCGCTACTCAAAATTTCAAGGGAATTTAATTTGATTGATAATGTGTTCAACAGGTATGGCAGAGGTAGAAGAATTGGGGGTTCAAAACCCAGAAATTAATGTAATTAAAGTTGCAGGAAAAAAATCAGTTAAAGATGAGGAGAGAGAGAGGAGGAAGAAAGAGAAGAGGAGGAAGAGATTGTTGAAGGAAACTGAGAAGGCTGATAGAAGGGGAGTGTGTTATTTGAGCAGGATTCCTCCAAAAATGGACCCTTTAAAACTCCGTCAAATTCTCTCCGCTTATGGTGAAATTCAACGCATTTATTTGGCTCCCGAAAGTTCGTAATCCTTTTCTTCTTCTTTGTTTTGCTTATCTATGTTAAATTGCTGAGTTTGTGGTTATTTGTTTGATGGGTTGTTTGTTGATTTTGGTTAGTATTGAGAGCTGGAATTGTATTGTTGAAGGGTTTATAGCGTGATTCTTCTGGACCTCTGAATGGAACGAAATTTATTTTGGTTGATACATGAGGGGAAAATAAGGTGTCATAATATGAATATAGAAAATGGAAGAAAAGAAATAGAGGGGATCATGATACCCTCTACATTGTTTTTACTTTGTATGAGATAGATACCCGTAGGCTGTATGTATCGTAGTTAAAATTTTATAGAAATATAAGTTGCTAGAAGAAGCTGTTATTCTTGTAGGGTTAGGTACATTTAGTGTCTGGGAGGCTCAATGAGCATTGTAGTAAAAGCACCTTCTGCTTTTATCAAGTCCCCCTTTTCTAGTATCTACATTAGTATGATAAAGTCCTAATATCAATTATCAAGTGCTTAATTCTTGCGTTCTCCATATGATAACATTGTTTTCAAGGCAAGAGCTCCTGAGACAGTAGTCAGGTAAATACAATTGGCTTGTATCTAATTTATTTATCTGCTTATCATGTATTAAGACTTTTATGACATAGGAAGTGTGTAATTTAAGCTATGTGGTGTGCTGATGAAAGTGAATGGGTTTAGTAAAGGCTTAATTGTAGCCACTGTGCTTCAAATATCACACTGCATTAGGGATTTTTTTGGGGGGGGGGGGGGGAAGAGAAGTAGCAGCTTGTGAGAAGCAACAAAAAGGAGCTTTTAGCTTGAATCCATCAAATAAGCTTAATTTAAGAATGGAGAGCTATTTGATGATTCAAATTGTTTAGGTGCTTTGGAGTTTATTTGAGCTGCAAATCTACTTATATGTTAGAGTTTAGCGGTTAGTTTGCCACAATAGTAGGCTCTAGACATGTTGTGGGTTCAGGTTATAGTTCAAGTTGTGAAGAAGTTACAAAGTGAAGCCAAAGAGCAATGTCAGATAAAGTGAACCAGACAACCGTGTACATTAAATTACATGACTGTGTATAATATGGTCAAGATGAAGAATCTGATGTTTGATGGTACTTTTGTAGATTAGCGTGTGCCTTGTGAAGTCACCCGAGTCTTGAGCGTTCAACTTAATTGTAGTTTAATTATTCTTTGTAATATTTTTAGGAATCTTGGGTAATTTATTCTTAATTAATTGTCAATTGCTTAGGAAGATAGAATACTAATTTCCTATTTCTTGTTGTATTCATCCTAATCCTTGTCATATTTAGGGTGTGTTCTATTCACTTATCTGAACTTAACTGAACTTATTTGAACTTAACTTAACTTAAATTATCTGGACTTATTAAAACTTATTTTAGTTGTAATTTGAACTTCAGCAACCCTTATCATAACTTATTTTTCTTGAACTAAACTTATCTGAATTTATTAAACCTGAAATAAGTGAAAAATAAGGTGAACAGAGCAGACCCTAAATCTTGTTAGATGCTAGAATTGTTTCCTAAGTCTAATACGTGTCTAAGGTTTCCCAACTTTCCATCCTATATGTAAAGAGGGCTTTGGGATCTTTGTTTTGTGTGCTCACTTATAAAGATACAAAAGTACCCCGAAATCCGACAATAATTACAACTCATGCTAAAGCGGGATTTGGATTTGTTATACAAAATCTAGTGAGATTGTGTGGGTGAATAAAGAGATCCTTGTTGTTGGTCAAAGTATATGTTGATGATAAGTTTGTGGTTTATTCTTCTTTTTTGTCAAGGTCATGAATTGTGATTGGGTAAGCATGAGTCTTTGTGGTACAGGTTTGCCTGTTTGCTTAGTTGTGGTACTGCTCTATGGTGTGAGTTTGATGTATGAGATTAAGTTTGAAAAAAGAAAAGAAAAAAAGAAAGACAACTACCATACACCAAGTTTCCCATCCAAACACCATTATGACCCCCCCCCCCTCTTCTGCTCAAAGATGTTCTCTAACTTGTATCATTAAAAAAAATAATTATTGAAGTATTCACAAACCTAACAAATATTCAGTGGGCATTTGCCTGCTCACTTTCTTACACCGGATATTTCTTTTCCTTACCTCACTTGAGTCACTTCCATGTATGTTCTCTTGTATCCATGATTGTTTTCGCTTTGAGTCTTATGTTTTTTGTTTCTTATTTATTTATTTTTGTTAATTAATTTTTTTTTTTTTGGCGCGTCATCTTTCTTCCTGTTCTAGTACATTTAAACAGGCTTCTAGTCATTTTGTATTGTTAGGGCTTACATGAGTGATGTTCATTTGCATCTCTCCTTTCTGGAATTTCATATGCATTTTATGTGACTTTTGTTCCCTAAGTTGATTAAAGATTAAATTAAATGTTATTTGCAGATCCTGAAGCTCAAATGCGACGAAAACGGTCTGGAGGTTTTCGTGGGCTAGAATTTTCTGAAGGGTGTGTGTGATCATAATACTTTCATTTGATGTTCAAACTAATTACAGACCTTGAATAAATTATTCAGCAACGCCCTTTTTGCTATCTCATTAGAAAAGGTCCTCACCTTTATTTTACATATGATTATGGTTTGTGTAGGTGGGTAGAATTTGCAGACAAGCACGTTGCAAAAAAGGTTGCAAATATGTTAAATGGTGAACAAATGGGTATGTTCTGTTGCTCTATTTTATTTCCTTAAAGATGTTTACAATTTTAAACGCTTTAGTGCCTTTGAATTCAAAATGGTAAGAGAGTGGACGTTTGTGCTGGGACAGAGGGGGTTGGGGTGGGAGAGAACCTGAAGAGAGAGAGACTGGGAGGAAAAGATGGGCTGGTGCCAACTGTTCATCAAGGAAGAAGGGACATAGAATTGAATAGAGTGGGAGGAGGGGGAAATATTACACCGGTGACGGGGTGATTGATATGTGAGGTTAATCTCCACTCAAGAAAGCTTAAGAGCATCAGAACAATTTACCCCCTTAATTTCCCCCCTCTTATTTTATCTATTTCAGGCAGACCCTTATGTTTATTTGTTGTATACTTATATGTTCTGATTTAATTCAATTGTTGGAAGGTAGAGAGGGAGAGAACCAAAGCTTTTTTTTTTTTCGTCACTATATATGGATCATTGAATAGATAATAATGGGATTAATCATTATTTAAGAAAATAAATTCTGTCAGACATGTAAGTTTTTTTCTAGGATGTATTACTACTAATTAGCTGTTCTTACCAAATAATTGCAGTTTTCTTGTCAAGTTGTCATTATGACCTTGTTCACTTCTTGACATCTATGTATCAACAGGAGGGAAAAAGAGATCACAATTCTTCTATGATATTTGGAACATCAAGTATTTAAGCAAGTTTAAGTGGGATGATCTTACTGAAGAGACTAGTAAGGATTCATATATATATATTTCTATAAATCTGGTCATATTGGGGTTTTAGTGTTAATAGTTTATTTGTTTGTCAATGCAGCATACAATAATGCCATTCGAGAGCAGAAGTTGCGTATGGAAATCTCTGCTGGAAATAAAGAACGTGACTTTTATCTAAATAAAGTGGATCAGTCTCGTGCTTTGAGTGAGATAGAAAAGCGTATGGTCAAGGTATGTGGACTTTATACTCTTTGTTAAATTGCATCATGTTGAAAAACTTGTAGCTTGTATCAAGTTTATGTTATGTATGGTCTATGGTGGGATTGTTTGGTATGAGTGCATTTAGAGTTAGAGTGATGTGGGTCGAGCTAACAAAACTTTGTAGCTACCTTTTCTTCATTATCCATTTACATTGTGTCCAACACAACATCTTATACAGATATAGACACTCCACACTCGAGTATGATGAATTTAAAAACACTTGTAACTAAATGAGCTTTATATTATACAAAGTTGACGCTTTTGAAGAGTTTGAGTACCAAAGATGAGCACCATATGACTTTGGTTGGTTGTTTCTGTCAGTTTCATGAACTAGGACATCCTATACTGCTGGAAAGAAATCATCCTCTTAGAATCTAAGATGATTTCCTTTTTGTTTTAGTTTTACAAGGTAAGAAACACACGCATTGCGTGTGTGTGAAATATAGAAAATTAATTAGGCTATATTCTCATCTTTATTCTATAAAAACGATAAATATTTGTTGGTGTAAATTTTAAAAGTTGATGATATATATATATATATATATATATATATATATATATATATATATATATATTATAGGGAGTGGGATCAGGTTTTTTTTTTAAAAAGATGAGTGACAGCAGTTATGATAAGGTAGTTATTTTTTGTTTTTTTTATAAAAAATAATTTTTATTTTTTAATTTTTTATTTTAATTGTGAATAAAAGAGGTAATATTGAAAATTGAGAATGACAATTTAGGAACAGTGAAATTTATCACCCAAAAAGCCCTTTCTCTTTATATATTACTATAGATAATGAGAAATTTCGTATAATTATTCGTATTTTAATGAATAATGCTGTTACATCTATGTTCATATTTGGTAGAATCTCAATTGTCATGTATTGTGAATCAAATTCACATTATGTGGGAAAATAGCCCAATGGTGTGTTATCATATTCATTTATTCATTTTGTCAACATTAATCTTAATCTTATACTATGTTACTCGGACACGGCACATTTGCCGTCATACTCGGGTTGGTACGATCCGACACGGATCTGGATATGGAATCCGTTCCGGATACATCATCTTGCTCTCGGGTGCGGACGTTAATTAAATCTCAGAAATTCAGACTATTAACTTTAAGCTTTGGCGAGTTCATGGCTTCAAGCTCTTTGATTTTTGTCAACATTAACCTTGATCTTATAACACCTACTTATTCAGTCATTGAGTTTTGGAAAAAGTTCTGCCTTTCTATTTAAGGAGACCATACTCAATTTTGACCATTCTAGTTCACATCCTCATTTAAAACATAGGTTGCCTTGAAATAATAGATACTATTTATTGTCCACCGCTATGTGACTATGTGTCAGTGAAACCTAACTTTTACCACTTACTCCAGTTGATTAATTAGTACTTCCTCTGTTTATTAGTTGCACCATTTTGAATTTTACACTATTCACAAATTCCCCTTTGACCATTTTTTGTTATTTATTTGCAAGAAAAAATAGTCATGTGGATCTTATTATATTCATCATGATCTATACTTCCATAATTCTTCGTACTTGTATTAATTTTTACTAATTTTAATTAAAAGATAATCAAAGATATTAATGGACAAAGTTGTGCATTGACAAGCGTGTAACTACAAATGGTACAATAATAATATATAGGAAAAAGTAGAAGATTGTAGTCCATCCATTTTGATTTTACTTCTCTTCTAGAGTAGTTATCATTAGCCAAGTAAAGGTAATGGCTTAAAATGTGGTACACAAAAGTTAGAAGATATACTCCCTTTTTATCTCTTAGATTTTGTTTCAGCCTTAAACTTATCTATTGTATTTGGTAACGCTTTAAAGTTTCTTGAGCGCTCAGAACTTGTTCACCATGTGGATCAAGCTGCTCTATTTATCATGTTAGAATTTATGTGACGGATCTGTCATGGCTCTCTTCAGCATTGTAACTTTAGCTTGTACATGGCTTATAAAGAAGAACGTGTTTTGTTTTTTCCTTTTTGGAGAGCTGTATTTTGAAGTACTTTTAGACCACCGGTGCATGCCATATAAGAATCTTGCACTTCCATTTTTATGCCATTGTACTAGAGATCATGCCTCAAGTTGTTGATTGACATGGTTTAGTTGACAAGTGCTTGTAGGAAAATTTTCCATTTGTTTCAGTAGCTATTTAGACGAATACTAAATTAATATCTGTCCTCAGAAGCGGAAACTCCAAAATAGTCTGGACTCAGAAGGCCCAAAGGAGCAGCAAAAGCCCAAAGTAATACGCCCGTTCCCCCAGAAGAAACCTCTTGCAGACACTGCTTTCAAAAAGAGGCCTACACTCTCTAAAGCTGTAATGGCTGAGGCAAGTGTTGTTCAATTTTACTTGCATTGCTTGATGCAATTCTCTTTTTTCTCTTACTGCAATAAACATTTACTCATGATAAATATCTTTTCCAGATCTTTAACTCAGGTAATGATGAATCCTGAGTATTATAACAGCCTTTGTGATGCAAGGTGAAGTCTGCCTTGTTTGGGAACGAATGTTCCGTCGTTTACTGTAACATTTGTCAGCCATACCACCTGGATCTTCATTGTATATCAGAGGGTATACATGGAAGGAGAAAGAGATGAATCTTCATATTATTCCAGGTCCAAAGTTTTGAATAGTGTAGTTTCTTCATTTTATTTTATTCTATTTATTTTGCCTTTTTTTAATTTGTCAGTGTAGCCGCTTACCACTGTAATTTATATGGATGAGACGTGGGTGCCTGATGGTAGTTCTTTAGGGCAGCTCACTCTTCACTGAACAATTCACATCAATTTTACTGCATCAGAAGATAGATGTTTTTTGACACTACATTTGTATTGCTTTCTTTAGACGTCATTTACATAATTACATAGTATGTGCAAGAAAGAAGGCTAATGCAATTGACTTAGCTTTTTGACTTCCGAGCTTGAGGTAAGCTATTAAATCTCACTAAGCTCATTCTAGAAGGGATTTTCTTAAATCTCCCTTCCTAGGATAGGCCTTCATCTCCCTCCCCCCAAGCCCCAACACCCCTACAGTTTGGACAGCTTTTCAAGTTTTTTATCAGCTTGTTGCTGCAGATGCTGCTACAGAAATTGCTTATGCCTCCTCGTCCTTCTGATTACTAGTATTACTTAGTATATAATTAGTACTCGTCTCGTACAAAGTATCTGGCAGCGAAACTCCATGGAGTTACCAAACACTTGAAACACAGATGTATCTAGGATTCTCTACATTGACGCCTATTTCTTGTACTTGAATTTTGTCGACCAATATTTATTCTATCTTCTACTCATCACATTTTTTTTGCTCTTATTGATCTGATGCTAGCTTCTCCATTGTACTCATATTTCCGATTTACCTCTGCAAAGTTTTTTTTTTTTTTTTTTTTTTTTTTTTTTTTTTTTTTTTTTAATATTCTTTTTAAAAATTATCAGTAATTTTCATGCTAATTCAAGAGGGCTGAATGCAATTTTCTCAACACCTTTATGTTCCTCAAGAGGGTAATTTCATCTGTTTGGTCAAACAACCAAGGTTATTTTTGTCAGTTTGACAAAACAGGGGATTAACACCGCTACCTATATTCCCACAATTCTCTCTTCGGAAATGAAGGTTGATGTTATTTAGATGAAATACTACAAGAGTGGGGGAAGGGGGGGGGGGTGAATTGTAGTATGAAGATTGCTAGTTATTTTTTGCGGAATTAAAAGAAACTTAACGAAATAGAGAAATAGTGCAAGAGAGATTTTACGAGGAAAACTTCTTAGGCCAAATAGGAAGTGAAAAACCTCGACCCAAAGGGATTTGACTCAAAACATTCCACTAAATAGGCCAACGACTCTGTTACAACCTATGAGGAACTTGAGTCTCTACCTAGTTCCTCAACGAACTCATATCCCCAACAACTATTCCCTCTAATAGTTGCAGCTCGAAATCTTCCCTCAAAGACCTCTTCTCACTCAAGACTTCACTCAAAGCCTTATTCTTTCTCTTTCTTTCAAGCTTCACTCAAAGCTTTCTCTTTCTCTCATTACAAAGAACTCACTCAAGTTCTCACCCCAATACAAGAGTTCACTCAAACCCTCATAAATTCCCCATTACAAGAGCTCACTCAAACCCTTAAAAAACTCTCAAATATATATAAAAGATATAATGTATAAAACTAATATGTTGGACACTTTGAGATATGTAAGGAACTTGAAACCTGAAGGAACTGGCTCACCAACGTGGAGAGAAAATATATTTCTTTTCTACTGCTCTACCACTTGGGACAAATGATGAGTCTATTTTATATATTTTATTCCTCGTCCCATGGTCATATTTTGTGCTTATTTGAGCTCTACGGAGCTATTTTTATTACTAATATACGTTTTTTAGTATTTTTGTAGAGTTGGTATTATTTTGTAGGTATTTGCAGATTTATAATAATTCATGAGCTTATTAAGCCAATATGAAGATATTAGAGTCGAAACGTATTTTATGACTATATATTTTAAGCCCAAGACCGAGTTAGAGAAATTTAATTTGGTGATTAAGGGCTCGATTAAGTGAAGAGGTCCCAAATTAATATCATGATCCTCTCTCAAAGCTTGGGGATCCAATACCAAGGAGAGCACTCGAGCCTGCGCGTGAAGAAGCCCTTCTCGCTGCCAGACAGATGGGCCCGATCAGGCTGATATGTCCAGCAACACGTTAGGCTGCTACAACAGTTCGGCTGTCTTACTTCTTGGGCTTATGCAATTTTGGGCCGGTCACTTGGTTTCGTTTGCTGATGATTGTGTCGGTTTAGGAGCTAGTTTTAGTGGGTTTAGGAGTAGTAGTAGTTTGACTTTCTATCAAACTCACTTTCCTATTACTCCATTAGATATAAAAGGAGTAGTAGTATGTAGGTTAGGGGGATTAGCTTGGAGATTAGGTAGCTTTTTAATTAATTAATTTTAATTAGTTTTTATGTTTTAGTTTTCTTTTCTCTTTCTCTCTCTCTCCTCTTAATTAAACTCTTAGATTTTCCCCTCCCTTATTTCTCTCTCTAAACTCTTAATTTATGCAATTTTATATATATTTCTTTCTTTTGGTATTATATCTTCTCTCCTTTATTACTTATTTTCTTTGCTTTGATCCTTATCATGTCTCCTTTAATTGTTTTGTTTAGTTTATATTTAATTATGTCTGAGTAGTTTTCTTTCTAGGGTTTATGGGGATCCATAAATAATATGAAGGGGTAATTTATTGTTGTTGATTGTCAATGCTAGATTAATTTCCTATTGATTGATTTAATGCTCTGTGACTAGATTAGACCTGATCTTTTATGCATGAGTTTGACAATATTGATTCGAGATTCGAGAGATGAGAATTGATGTTTAGGTCTAGTTTCAATAGGCAGGTTAGTTTATAAATGGTTAAGTCGAGATTCGAGAGATGAGATTTAATACCGGTAAATTAATTCTGTGATTGTAATACGTAGTGAAAGCCCTTTATGATTTGATTAATTTATGCATTGATGATTGATTATCATGCTTTACCCTGGAATGTTATTTATTGGTGAACCTATACCCTAGGTCTTTTATTCATTGATTTTCTCTATTTTTACTCTTCCTTACTTTTACTCTTAGGGCCTGTTCTCTTTCGTTGAAATTCAGTTCAGTTCAGTTCAGCTCTTAATTTATGTCTAATGATATTGCTAATGATATAAAGCCAAATTTCATTCTTTTAAACTCTTATTACAACGAAAACAACAACAACAACAACAACAACAACAACAACAATAATAATAATAATAATAATAATAATATTAACAATAATAATAATAATAATAATAATAATAATCAATAACTAATAAATAATAATAATAATAATCATCAATAAATAATAATAATAATAATAATAATAATAATTGAAATAATAATATTAATAATAATAATAATAAATAAATAATAATAATAATCATCAATAAATAATAATAATAATAATAACAATAATAATAATAATACTAATAATAATAATCAATAAATAATAATAATAATCATCAATAATTAATAATAATAATGATAATAATAATAATAATAATAATAATAATAATAATAATAATAATAATAATAATAATAATAATTGCCTCAAAAAAAAAATTAATAATATTGATACAATTCATTGTTCAAATGGTTCTATTTTTTTGATACACATTTCTAATGTTGATCTCATTGAGAAAATTAGAGTACTACACAACTTAAACTAATTTTCATAGTCAGTTAATTCTTTGTCTTCTTCTTGTCCACCAAGCTCCTCCATTACCTCAGCATTCCTCTGAACTGACTCCCATATCTGATCAGTTATTTCTTGTCGTACAATATCCATAGCTGCTTTTCTGTTAGGATCGTACATAGTATGATCTTCTCTTCGCTCCATGACTTCAACTTGGTGCGTGAATGGAATTCCTAGTTCATGTAAACGAATAAAATTGTGTAGAGTACAACAAACAACGATTATTTGCAACTGAAAACGTAATTCCATTTGCGACATCAATTTAGGTTGTAGAACCTTCCACCTATTTTTCAGAATCGCAAAAATCCGCTCAATTACATTTCGACAAGACGAGTGTAGGTAAGTTTTTACTATATTTTCCATAAATTTTATAATTATATAGTATATTTTTTCGTAAATATTTTAATATGTACATTTGTATATACACATATGTATAGTAATAAATAATCAATAAATAATTAAAGATCACTAATCCGTAGTAAAAAATCACTAATTAATAAGTTCAGTTCAGTTCAGTTCAGTTCAGCCGAGTTCAGTCAATCGGAACAGGCCCTTAGTGGTTTAGTTATCCTTCGATTACAATATTTTGGTTACTTAATAATTTAGATTATAATAACTAATTAGGAATAGAAAGACTTGTTTCCCTGTGGATTCGACCCTACTTCCCTATCTGCATTAGTTAGAGGATTTAGGTAATACTTTTGATTAGGTGATACGACTTTAGCCTGTCAACAAACTACATTATGGCCGGAATGACTCAGTTAAGCCGAACAGTTTGAAATGAATGAAAACACCTCTTTTTATAGTGCTTCAAATATGAACACATTCACCCTATGATCTTCAACCATAATAGTAGTGCTTCCTAAATTCTAGGCATTATCTCAATTAACTTCATGAACATAAGAAGTAATGGAAGACATGGATTGGAGTCAAAAACATGTTCTCCATGATCACCTTATTTTTCTCCAGTAAAAAGCTATTTCAAATTAAACGTGAAAAGTAATTTTTATTTTGCCAAAAACTTAATAAATAAAAATAGAAATTACAAGATAATAAAATACTAACCAAATCATATTTTTATCAATTAAAAACTGATTTGGGTTTTATTAATTAAGAATAAATATTTTATAATAATATTTTATCCTGAAATAACTATCCTATTTAATTTGAAATATCAAACCAATTAGAGATTATATAGGAAACAACCTAAAACATACCCCTAAAATATAGGAGAAAATAAAGAGAATAAAATATCATTTTGACTAAAAAGAGAATCAGATTTTACTTTAAAAACTTATCTTTTATAAAATATAATCTATTTAAAATAAATTATACCAAGTCAAAACTAATTACCTAGAAAGTAGGCAAAGATAATGCAATGACTACTAACATGGAAAACTGACTTCAGGTGCTGTGTAAACTCGTGTTTCTCGTATATACGAATTTTAGACTAACCCGTAGGGAACTGGCTAGTCAACAACACCCAGTTCCTTCCAGACTGCCAATTCCTTTGAGACTGAAGTTCTAATTTAGTTCCATAGGCATGTTCCAAACAATTTCTCGTATCCAACATACTTACATGATTCCTAGAAAAATATACTCTTATTTTTTTGTCTTGAAGCTTCTACTACAAAGCTTGTGTTCCTTCAA